CATTCGTCATCTTCAGGCTGCTTCAGACTACTTCAGGTTTGGTGTTTCCAGGAGTAGTGGTAACTACTACTAACTACTATATAATATATTCCCGGACATAGTATAGTACAGCCTTTATTGTCATTGTACATCATGTATACAATGGAATTGGATAATACGACAATTTAATGTAGATGCTTCTCATTACCATTAACCTAAAGTATAATTAAAGGTGCTTCAACCACTCCTTTGTCCCTCAGGTTCCAGAGTTCTTGTTTTTAGCCAAATGACTCGCTTATTGGATATCTTGGAAGACTACTGCATGTGGCGAGGTTATGAATATTGCCGCCTAGATGGGCAAACACCGCACGAGGAGAGAGAGGTGGGAATAATTTTTCTAGTCCCTTGAACATTTATTTTCTTCTATCCTGGACACAGGCTGTGTACCAACTAACATTTCTTCACTATTTTCCTGAGTGCCGATTTGCTATGACAGGTGGACTTATTTTCCGTCAGGCCTTATAAACAGATTAATTTTTCATTATTGCACGCTGTGTCATTCAACTTTCTGATTTGAGTTTCAACTACAGAAAGCCCTTGACTTATGACCTTCATTGGAACTGGAACTTCCATCATTAAGTGATGCAGTTGTTAAGGGCGTTCTACCTGGTTTTTATGACCTTTTTTGCTGTGGTCATTAACTGAATCCCACAAAGTTGTTAAGTGACTCCAGCTTCTCCTATTGACTTTGCTTGTTGGAAATCCACTGGGAAAGTTGAAAATGGCGATCACACAATCCTGGCACGTTGCAATCATTGTAAATACATGACGGTTGTTGAGGGCTTGAATTGCAAGTGTATAAGTGCAGGGATGGGTCGTAAATCATTTTTTCCAGCCCCATCGTAACTTTGAACGGTTGCTTAAATGAATGGTCGCAGGTCGAAGGCTACTGTATCACTTTAAGGGAAAATAAGTGAAAGGCGCATTTACAAAGAATGCCAGTGCTGTTTGAAGATCTCCATAATTCACAGGCTGGGGATCCAGTTGCTTGCAGAACTCCTTGGAGAAGGGGAGGAAAGAGTTTTGATTCCCTGTGTTTCTATCATGGCCAGAGTTCTCCCTGTATTAACTATTTTAGAAACAGGAGTGGACTGTTCTCCTGAACCTGTAGCTAATGTTATGGCTTGTTCAGAAGAACCTCCAAATGCCACCCCTGGCTGGCCCTGCCCATCCCAGCCCGTCACTCCCACCTCACCCCTCCCAGGAGTCTCCATGCGGCCCGTTTTGGATGTGAGGTACTGTATTTTTCAGAGTATAAAACACACCTTCCCCCCCTAAAAGATCGTGGAAATTTACACCGAATACAGCCATTTTGGCTTCCCGAAGCCCCGCCCCACATCCTGAGCCATTTTTCACAAAAACAGAGGGGTATTTGCCTTCCCCCAACCCCAGGAGCACTCTGCAGGCTTCAGCAGGGCTGGGGGAAGGCAAAAATGCCCCCGTTTTGGCAAAAAACAGGCCATTTTTCGCAAAAACTGGTGTTTTTGCCTTCCCCCAGCCCTGCTGAAGCCTGCAGAGTGCTCCTGGGGTCTGGGGAGGACAACCACTTTTTTTTCCTTACCTCTTCAAAATCTTGGTGCGTCTTATACACCAATGCATCTTATAGTCCGAAAAATACAGTAAGTGCAGGGCTCGTGTGGAGGCTCAGGGAGGGGGAAAAACGAGCCTCCTGGAAGTTCAGGCCCGTTTCTGGCCTCCGGAGCCCTGGGGAAGATGTTTTCGCCCACCCAAAGGCTCGAAGAAAGCCTCTGGAGCCTGGGGAAGGCAAAAAGGGTTCCTCTGCCGTGGTGCAGGAGGCCGACTAGGCCACTTCCATCATGGCCACGCCCACCCAGCAACTGGGTAGAGAACCCGTTGCTGAAATTTTTGAAGCCCACCCCTGTTTAGAAACCAGGCAAAAACAACAACTTGATCCCTTGCAGGAAACAGTATTTTTAACACAGTCTCTTTAAAAAAAATATCTTTTTTTTTAGGAAGCAATAGACACCTTTAATGCTCCAAACAGTAGGAAGTTCGTTTTTATGTTGAGTACAAGAGCCGGAGGCCTGGGGATTAATCTAGCAACAGCTGATGTTGTGATCCTCTATGATTCAGATTGGAACCCTCAAGTCGATCTACAAGCGATGGTAAGTGGAGATCTTAAATGTTTGTTGCTTCACTCTTTTCATATAAGCTAACTAAAAAAAAAAACCCTATGTAAACACTACATTTGAAAGGTTGATTAAAATAGACTAAATAACGGTACATTCACCTTTGCCTTTATATTGGTATTCGGCACCTTTTCACTTACACTTTTGTTAATTTACCCTGATTAGGATCGTGCACATCGGATTGGTCAAAAAAAGGCCGTGCGGGTATTTCGGCTTATCACTGACAACACTGTTGAAGAGAGAATAGTAGAAAGAGCCGAGATAAAACTGAGGCTGGATTCAATTGTTATTCAGCAAGGTACGGTTTAATATATTTGTGGTATTCGGAGATAAAATTAAGAGAAGCCAGGATCTGACCCGCAGCATTCGGTAATGAAACTAGAAAAATCTGACTTCCTTTGAGATTTTTCCCTCCTTTGACTTTAAAAGAGAATAGCAACTGGAGTGGACAAAACATGGAGGATATAAGCCAAGGGGTGCCCAACCTTGACAACTTATAAAACTTCAGGACTTCAACTCCCAGCATAGCTGGCTGAGGAATTCTGGGAGTTGAAGTCCACTAGTCTTAAAGTTGCCAAGTTGGAAAAACACCCCTGATATAAGCAGTTACAGGTAGTCCTTGATTTACAAGAGTTCGTTCGTAACTGAGCCCAAAATGTCTGTTGCTAAGATGTTAAGTGAGCTTTGCCCATTTTATGATCTTGATTGCCACAGTTGTCAAGTGAATCACTGCAGTTATTAAGTTAGTAACAGGGATGTTGAGTGAATCTGGCTTCCCTATTTACCTTGCTTTTCAGAAGGTCACAAAAGGGAATTGCAGGATACTGCAATTATCATAAATATGAATTAGTTGCCAAGCATCTGAATTTTGATCATATGATCATGGGGATGCTGCAATGGTTATAAGTGTGAAAAATGGTCATAAGTCATTTTTTCAGTGTTGTATCTTCAAATAGTCACTAAACGAATGGTGGTAAGTTGAGGACTACCTGTAAATATTTTTCACATCTGAACAAAAATGCTGCACCAGGAAAAGGAATTCCTATTTTATTTGTTTAAAGTTGTAGCTAAATTACACAAATGCCGTTTTAATATGTTTGTGGTTCAGTATCTGACTTTGTTTTCTATTTTCGATGTGACTTCACTACCAAATAAATGCTTTGCTTGATATATATACTTAGCAAGCACATTGTGCTGCTGGTCAATTAAAATTTAATGGTTCTGTAAAAGTTGGTGCTCACTTCAAATTGCACATGTCAAAGTCAATCCATTCTATAAATCTTTGCTTTAAATTTGGCACTAAGATATGAAACATTTAAATTTGCTGTTGCACTTTCACTCTTTAATTGTAATTTTATTAAATAGCCTGCTTAGATAGGGATATGATTTTATAATCCTAGTATAAAACTCACAGTGGGTTTGGAATTAAAATTCTCTGTGTTTTATGTATTAGGAAGGCTTATCGATCAGCAGTCCAACAAACTAGCAAAAGATGAAATGTTGCAAATGATCCGTCACGGAGCAACACACGTCTTCGCTTCCAAAGACAGTGAACTGACTGATGAAGACATTACCACTATTTTAGAAAGAGGTGAAAAAAAGGTGAGATAATGTGGAACATTAATCACTGTGCCTTGTTCATTTTTTCCATTATCTGTAATAAATATCAGCCCTGAACTAACCGAAAAAAATGTTAGCTTAGCTAACTTTTCATACAGACTGATTAAAATCAACCATAGTATTTATATGCATGAAAAAGACATTTCTAAAATGTGCTTTCTTTCTTTCTTTCTTTTTTGGTACTTCTGACTTTCTTTAGACAGCTGAAATGAATGAACGTTTGCAAAAAATGGGTGAAAGCTCTCTTCGGAACTTCACAATGGACACTGAAATGAGTTTGTACAATTTTGAAGGGGAAGATTATAGAGGGAAACAAAAGGTATATTTTTCATATACATGGGGCATTGCAGTTGCATGAATTGCATTACAGAGAATAAGTTTTGATTTTAGTAGGATCATAAACATCTTAAAATAAGTGCTGCACGTTGCTGGGGTGAAATTTTAGGCTCTCATTATTGGTCCCCCCCCCTCCTGAATTTAGGTTGGAGTTTCCTTGTGACTGGAAAGTCTATTATCCTCTGGATGTTGCCTGAGATGCAAAGATGGAAGCCAAGGCAATCTTTGGTTGCATTAACAGAGGGATAGAATCAAGATCACGTGAAGTGTTAGTGCTGCTTAATAAAGCCTTAGTAAGACCACACCTAGAATACTGCATCCAGTTTTGGTCACAATATTATAAAAACATGTTGCGACTCTGGAAACTGCAGACAAGAGCAACAGAAGATTAGTGAGTTGGAGGCTAAAACATGTGAAAAACAGTTGCAGGAATTGGGTATGTCTAGTCTAGTAAAAAGAAAGACTAGGGGTGACATGAGAACATTGTACCAATATTTAGAGGTGCCACAAAGAAGTGGGAGTCAACCTATTTTCCAAAGCACCAGAAGGGAAGACAAGAAACGATGGATAGAAACTAATTGAGTTGTCTTAGAACTAAGGAGAAATTTGCCTTGCCTTCAAAAGTTATAGGTGCTCCCATCACTGGAGGTTTTTAAGAAATTGGACAACCACTTGTCTGGAATGGGTATAGAGTCTCTGGGTTGAGCAGGGTTTGGACTAGAAGACTTCCAAGATTATATATATATATATATATATGTATATATATATATATATATACACACACACACACACACACACACAATACAAACAGTACATATACAACTGAATGAAAAAGAAAGGAAAACAAAAGCAAAAGAAAAAAGAAAAAAAACATGGGAAATGATCCAAGATCCTTTCCAGCTCTATTATTCTGTTAAATCTTCAGATCAGCCAGCATTCCCAGTGGACAGAAATAGAGGAAGATTTAATCTAGTAGTATCTAGACCA